CTTTAGCCCACATCCTCCACTGTTTGCAATTTATACACAAATTAGAAAACATTAATATATAATGATCGACATTAAAGGATATTGGATACATCGTTATTCAAATTTTTTAAAAAGCGAACTACTAAAAGCAAGGCAGAAAAGACTTCTTGTGAGGTGTTTATCCAAGTAAGGTCACTGTGACTCTACTAATGCTATATACATCCCTAAAGAATCTTTAAGCCTAGCTTTCAACATTTTCATGAATATATTCTTTCACAATACTGGAAGGATCCAAGAAGTATTCAGCAGTGGACTATTGAAATAAAAATGTATCAGCTCTGGTTATATGAAAAAAAAAACCTACCCAATTTATCAGTTCTTTTTAGTATTGCTTTTTGACTTTTAAACTTTTTTAAAAGTTATATTAATTCTCAAACAGAACTGTATGAATATAACATATATTCTAAATCAGACACAAATTGATGTTGATATTCCATATGTACCCACACAAGCTAAGTCACAGTTAATACCTGCTTCAAAATTTCTGAGTTATTTACAAATTATTACTTTATTTTTACCAAGTGATGCTTCAACAAACTAGCAAGCAGTTCAAAAACAGGTAAGTTCACTAGGTATGGTGACACATACCTGTATGCAATCTCAGCTCCTTGGGAAGCTGAAACAACAGAACTACTTGAGCATAAGCGTTTGAGACCAATCCAGGCAACATATAATGGAAGGGGGAGAGACAGTAAAAACAGAAAGAGAAATGGATAATCAAAGACTACAGTTACATAAACCTGCATCAAATCCTCATTCAGTCACTTAAAAGCTAAATGATACCTCTAAGCTTTATTTGCCTCCTTAATGAAAGAAACATTCACAGGATCTTTACATGATTACTGTGGCAGATAACATATACCTACTAAATATTCTTTTTTTCTTAAATCTTCAATGTTACTCTTAGCAACAACATGCTCAATGACAGGACTACAATTTACAGCTTTATCTGAAGACAGGTTGGTATATGAAACATAAACCTCAGTACACAGTGTCCAAAAAAGTCCTTCATAGAGGTTGATGCCTATACACTGGCCATCTTGGAATGCCAAGCCATCTTGAAACTGGAAGCCATACACGAAAGATATGATAGAAAAAGCTGAAGGTACACAGATTCCTGATAATCACAAAATCGTATTATTAAGCAATAAATTTACATCATGTTTCTATTATTTTCACTTGAATCTAGTATCTTCATATATCAGAACTTTTTAAAAAAATCTTTTATTTATGTATTTGATACACAGTCTCACTACACAGCTCAGACTCATAGTGATCCTCCTGTCTCAGCCTCCCCAGAGCTGGGATTACAGGGGTGTGCTACCATGCCCTGTTTCAGTGGCCGGCATGGCACACAGGGCTCCCGGGCTGTCACGGCATGTGGTACTGGAGATCAAACCAAGGTCCTTGCACTTGCCAGGCAGGTACTTAGACCACTGAACTATCTCCCCAGCCCCATATATCAGAATTTTATTTATTTTTTATATCAGAATTTTAAAAAGAATGTATGTAGGGTTTTTCATAAACTGGTACAGTGCAAGTAATCAAAATAATAATTTTCTTAATCCAAATAACAGTTCTTCATGAAGAAATTAGTAATGCTTTTATTTTTCCTTTGAAACTGTGAAGTCCATTATGTTCAATGAATTTATTCTACCAGGAAAAGATTTATTACTGCTGAATGTCTAGTTAAGAGCCATTTAATGAATTCAGTCTTTGATTACAAGAAGCAGCTATCTGAATACACTGGGTAAAAACAATCATTATACTATTTGAACTTCTTTTAAACTTTTCATAAAGAAAAGCAATGAATGAAGAACATGAATTAAGATAAGACATGCCAGTCACTTCCTTGTCACCATATTCTTGAAAATCCATAATACAGTCTTGTGATGAACAAACTACACACAAGTTAGACAACCTAGCTCCTTTTTTTCACCTGCATATAATGGTGAACCATTCCTCCTCCTCCCCAACCCTGATTTTACTTAGAGGCAGAGTCTCAGATCCCTCAACTACCCAGGCTAGAATGGAACTTGCAATTTTCCTACCACAGCCACCCAGAATTCAGAGATTACAGGTATATGCTACAAGGCTCACAACCACCTTTCTTTTAAATCTCATTTGCTAAAAACACTGTTTAAACCAAACCTCCCAAATTCCATTGATGGGGTTAGGCTCCACTAATATATATGTGCCAATAACTAGTGGATAATAAATTTTGATAAAGGTTTCAAAACAGACATATTATAACCCAAAAGGGCAGAATTAGATTTACAAAACAAGTATTTGAACCTTCTCCTCTTCCTAGTACTCCTGAGCAATGAATACGTGCTAAATCTAGCACTACAACAGTCATTTTGAGATACTTAGCTAAAATACAACAAATCTAGACATGAATCCTAAGATAAAAAGGAAGACCTAAAAGGCCCTCTTTGCTGTTGGAAACTTCCTAAATATTATCTACATACCAGAGTGCCCTTTTCATTCTTGGACAAGATGTATATATTTCTGAATCATCTTCAAGGAGAGTCTAGTCTCTCCTCCCAACTCTACCACTCCAGTTTCCAAGATTCTTTTAATAATAAACTATCAAAATGAAGAAGATAAAGGGTAAGTCTTCTCTTTTTTGTTGTTGTGACAGGGCCTCACTTTCTATTCGGGCTGGCCTTGAATGCACTATGCAACCCAGGCTGGTGGTCTGACTCAAACTCTGGAGTGATGAGATTTACAGGTGTGAGCCAACCATACCAGGGACAAGTATAACCTTACTTCAACATTTCATCCAACATGTGGCAAAAGTCTATGCCTATAATCTCCAGCTTTAGAGGAAAGGGGAGTGCTGGGAATAGAACACAGGGCACAGCACATGCTAGGCAAGCATTCTACTAAGCAATATTTCTTTTTTTTTTAATTATTTATTTATTTTAACATTTATTTATTGTGTGTGTGTGTGGCCAGCTCAGTCCATGAGGGGGCAGGGCTGGCTGGCATGTGGTGCTGGGGGATTGAACCGCGGTCCCTGATGCCTTGCCAAGCTTGTTCCAAGTAGGTGCTTTAGACCACTGAGCCATCTCTCCAGCCCCCTAAGCAATATTTCTATTCCTCCAGCTTAATGATATTTGAGAGGAGGAAAAAAAAAAAAAAGAAGAAGAAAGAAAGAAAGAAAAAAACCTCTGTGCATCAGAAATATTAACCCCAAAATTCAGGTACAGTGCCCAAACTACAGCAGCTTGATTACAACTTTAAGATAAAGGGGCATCTTATTCCCATTTTAAGACTATGGTCACACACACACACAAAAAAGACTGCTACTGAAACAGCTTTAACAAGTAAAGCATTACATTAAAATCCTAAATAAAAAACTATTAGATTCATGTCTATTACAAATACACAAACTTCAGCATAGGAATGTCCAGAATGAATACTCAAAACTTATTTGGTGAAAATAAGGAATAACAAAGAACAATGTTCTAATACCTATGTTTTTGTTTTTGTTTTGTTTTGTTTTTTGCAGAACCAGGGATTGGACTCAGGACCCTACACTCGCCAGGCAGGCACTTATTCTACTGCGCTATCTCCCCAGCACACCTATGTTTTCTTATGGGCCCCGTTTTCCTGACAGTGGCCAAATCATAATGTTTCTCTCAGGAACCTGAAATTTAAATGGATACACAGAAAGATTAAAAGCTACTAGAATATAACTGCTTTCTGGTAACACCTTAAAGAGAGACCCACGATGAGTTGAATATCCTGGAAGAAATTAGTACTTTACCTCTAGCCTAAATTCTGTAAAATAACCACATATACATCTAGAATGTTTGTGTTAGAGCAGCTAGCTAGAGTATAAAAGATATCAAATAACTAAATATGCTGATAATTAGAAGAATTGGTTATTCCCCAATATCAAGTAACAAAAAGTTACTTGACTGTAGTCTATAAAAAGCATTACCAAATTAATTCCAAACAGAAAAATGTCCATAGATCCTACTGGTCAAACACTTAAGAAAGGAAAGAGAAGGGAGGGGAGGTGAAGGAAAAGGGAGTGAAAGGAAGGCGAAGGGAAGAGAAGGGAACGGAAAAAAGAAAAATAAACGTACATTACCCTGAAGAATTCTAGCTGACAAAATTTAGCCTCCATAAACAAGTACACATAATCTCTTAATGCACCATCAAATTTATTCTTAGGATTTATCCTACAGAAAGACTTCAACAAGTAAATAAAGATGTGTAGAAAAACATAAAATATTGTGTATAGTAATAAGAGCAATATAATTTACATACATATGGAAGAGGAAGCTGAATTATGACACAGCTATACAATAAAATACTGAGCAGCCATTAAAAAGAATGCAGCAAGTCTTGGCCCACTGACAGATGAAAGAAAAAAGCCAAGAAAGGCATTCATGATTCCTGAACACACATACAAATCTTCATACACTAGACATATGTATACATACACATACATAATATATATACATACATATATATACATGCTTTCATAGAAAAAGTCTGGAAAGATATATATTAAACTCATGACACTGGTTATCTTTAGAGAAATAGTAAAAAAAGATGTTTACTTTCTCCCTTTATTCATTTCTATATTTTAATTGCATGTATTACTTTTATAATCCCCAAAAATAAACTGTTAAATGCTGTTAAAGAATCTAAAAGAAAGTTGAGACAGTAAGCAAAGTAAAAACGTTTGAAATGGTTAAGTATAATCATTTATCACACTAACAAAGTTGTTTCAACATATTAATAACAGTAACTAAGAATAAAATATTGAAAAAAGTAATAATCTGTTAAAAGCACTAGGAGGATGTGAAGAGATCTAGGCTAAATCAAATGGACCATCACATAAATCAGCACAAGCTAAATGCTCTAATATGTAAATGCTTTATCTATTTTTGCTTACATCTATCTAAAAGGCACTATTATTTTTCTCAAATGGTACTTACAGTTCTCTACAATTTCATCAAAAACTGCACCACTTTTCTGTTCAAACTGAAAAAGCAAAAACAACAAAAAAAGAAAAGTAATGTTATTCTCATACTTTTCAATCACAGTTTGACAGCCCTCCCAAGCCAAATTATGCACATACACTACAGCATAAACAAAATACTTCTTAATAGAGAAAATAAAATCGATGATGAACAAAAATAGTTTTCAGACCAAAGACTACAATCCAAAAACAACAACTACCACAACAAAAAAAAAACCACATCCTTTTTTTTTTTTTTTTCTTTTTGTTATGAGAGATTGAACCCAGGGAGATCTAAGCTGGGCTCAAAATCTTTTTTTTAATTTTTGAGAGAGGGTCTCTCAGTAAGTTGCCCAGGGTGCCCTGGAACTCACATGCATGCAGCACTGAGCTTGGCTTCTTAAAGTGCTTTTTTTTTTTTTTTTTCTGGCAGAACTGGGCATTGAACTCAGGCCCTTGCGCTTGCCAGGGAAGCACTTATTCCACTGAGCCATCTCCCTGACCCTATACTACTGTTGTTGTTTGTTTGTTTTTTTTTTTTGGCGGTACCAGGGATTGAACTCAGGGCCGTGTGCTTGCCAGGCAAGTGCTTATTCTATTGAGCTATTTCCCTGGCCCCTCTCATAGCTTTTTAATCATTCTATCACACACACACACACACACACACACACACACACACACACCCACCCAGGATATTTGTAATAAACATACCCAACATTTATAAAGAATTTCCTATACAAAACTGAACCAAAGGACTGGCAATAATAGCTGTTATTCTTAGACTAAAACCAGACATTTACAGCTTTTAAAACAAGGGAGCTAGGTGGGTATGCACACCTGTAATCCTAGTACTCCAGAGGCCAAGGTAGGAGGATCAGTGCAAATTCGAGACCTACCCAGGCTACAACGTGAGCTCAAGGCCAGCCTCAACTGCATTGAGAGACCCTGGCTAAAAAAAACAAAAATAAAGCAAGTGAACCATGATCCTGGGACGGTTCCTATTGAGTATGTTAAGATCTAAGAGAAAAGTAGAGCCAAGTCCAAGGTAATTCTGGACCTTCAAAACATGAGGAGGAAAAAAAGCACAGGTAGCTCCACCTGTAACCTAAAAAGAAAGCAGCACACTCCACCCTGAGTCTTTAAAAACCCACTTTTGGCAAAACTGACCATTCCAACTTCCTGGTCCCCTGTCTATTATACACTAAAGACACAAGAACATAAGGAACGCTGCTTCTTGGTAAACTTTGCTATAACTTAAAATAAGCCACTCTAGTAAATAGGATCACAAGTCCGCATCTTGTACAGCAATTAACCACTAAGAAGAATATATGCAGTGTTAATATTTGTTGAAACTGTACTTCCGATTTGATTTGAAACTGTCTCATTGCTGTTTATCAATAAAACTTTGAAAAAAAAAAACAAAGTGGTTAGGATAGATATATACTTGCATTCTCTTAATGAATAGAATGATTTGTTCTAATGCTGTTTGTAAATAGGATCACAAGTCCACTTCTTGTACAGCAATTAACCACTAAGAAGAATATATGGAGTGTATTATTTGTTGAAACTGTACTTCTGATTTGATTTGAAACTGTCTCATTGCTATCTGTTTATCAATAAAACTTTGAAAAAAAATTAAAAAACAAAAGGCCCAAACTCTAATCTTTCAAGTACGTGTTGCATAATTTATCTAACTGATATCCTTTCAAGAAAAAAAAGAAGGTAATTAAGTTAAATTACATCATTTTAATGTATATTTTATTGGAAGATGTTACTTTTTTCCCAAATAAAAGACATTGTCATGTTTTTGTTATGAAAAAAAAAAAAAATAAGCCACTCTATTCAAGGCAAAAACTTTCAAGAGAAAAAAATTACCTAACTACCTATACAGCTGTAGATAAAATAGAATAGCTAGTCAAAGTAATCAATAGTATCTGCTATTCACAAATAAGAACAGAAAACCAAAAATCACAAGTTTCTGAAAAGATGCAATGGTAAAAAGAAGATTTAAGATGAACAGCAAAACTGAGACTGGGAATACGTATTGGAAGGATTTTGAAATAACAGCCTGAGAAATAACAAAGAGGCAGCTCTGACTTTTGGCATTAAGGGTGAAAGAAGTAAATTAGGCTAAGCAAGTAATTGTATTCCTCCAGATAAGAGAAAAGGAATATGTGCACAGACTGGATGAAACCAGCGCAAGACAAATTGTAAGCAAATGACAGGGACCTGACTATGAGCAGACCCTAAACTTCCAAACTCATACCGTGCAGGAACTAAACTCTACTCAGTCCAGAAAACCCATCCCTTCTTTTAAATAAAAGAGTAACTAATAGTGTACCTTTGACACCTCATAAAAAGAAAATGTGTCCTCTGTGCACAAGCTCTCTATGAAGTAGCCAGGGCTGCTGTCCTTTCAACATATGGGTTGCACTGCACATGGAGCAACCTGTCCTGCTTCTTAAAACTGATTACTCAACCTACAGGCAAGTGTATTTCTTTTCTGTAATAAACTTTCACTTTAATTAATCATTAGTAGATGCACTGCTTCAACCTTACAAAAGGCAATTAATCACTGTAGCAGGTGACAAAACCACTCAAGAAATAACAGGTTATTTAAAGGAAAAAAAAAATCAACTACACCACACATGGTGTTTCACACCTATAATCCCAGCACTTGGGAGGCCAAGGCAGAAGGATCACTACGAGTTCGAAGCTAGCCTAAACTGCATAGCAAAACCTTGTCTGCAAAATAATTTTAAAAAAGAAGTTGGAAAACAATTTATGTGAATTGAAAGACCAAACCAATAGGCTTACCAGCAATTTAAAAAACACCCTGAAAGAAGAGAATAATTGTGAGGTAGGATAAGGAAAAAAAAAAAAAATTCAGGCTAGGGATACAGCTCAACAGCATAAGTACCTATATGGCAAGCAAAAAGTCCTGCTGAGTTCAATTCCTAGGTTTTTCTTTAAAAAAAAAAAAAAAAAAAGCCTGGCCAAATGGCTAAGCAGATTAAAGTGCTTGCTTGGACCAGGAGTTCAATCCCCATGCCTGGGCCTGTGTGCTGGCCCTGGCCCCGGGGGCTTGCTGCAAAGCAATTGAGACTGGACATGGTGACACACGCCTGTAATCCCAGCTCTTGGGAGGCTATAAAAAGGCAGATCTCTTTGTGTCTGATCTAGTAGTAAGACCCTGAACACCCTGTAGACCCTTCCTTAAAAATATATAAAAAATAAAAATTAAAAAAAAAAGTTCTCTAAACTAAAAATAGAAATATTCAAGATTGGGCTGGGATAAAGAAGGGAAAAGAAAAAAATACACACATGATAGCTAAGGAAGTTATTCTATTAATTTTTTTAGTTCATTGAAGAGACAGGTTTGTGCTAATACTGTTTGGGCAATTAAATGCTTATGTCTTGTACTCTGAATAACTAATTTAAAGATAACAACATGTAATATGTTAACCACTGTTACCCTCCCATTATCTTGTTTTGAAATTTTAATTTTTTGGTGTTGTGCCCACTCAATACCAAAAAGATAATAGAAAAAGATAGAGCTAGCCTGATAGCTCAGCAGATTAAAGACCCTGCTTTGGCAGACACAGGAGGCAGGAGTTCAATCCCTGGGCCTGTGTGGCAGCCCCGCCTCCAGGGTATGCTGTGACTGAGACTGGGTATAGTGGCACTCTCATGTAATCTCAGCGCTTAGGAGGTTGTAAACAGGAGGATCACTACAAGACCAATCTACATAGTGAGACCCTGCAGACCCCCTGTCCTAAATACATAAAAATTTAAAAAACGAGGATATACCTCCTAGTGAATTTCAGTCTTTCAAGAGCAATTAGTGCTATAAACTCCATAATCATTTTGATGCAAATCTCTTCACATACTTGAGCTTCTTAAAAAGTATCAAAGGATAATCTGGTTTTTAATTAATTTAGTTTGCTTTTATTTAATTCAAATCTTCTGGTAAACACTTGTAAAGGTTGATACATTGTGTCAATTTGAGAAGTATACAAGTTTAACTAAGGGACTAAGCAGGGAGCCAAAGTCCTTACTCAGTAAGCAGCTTCATCCTATGCACGTGGAGGGCTTGAAGATTGTGTGAGTGCTACACCCCCCACCACACACACAACATACCCAGGTTGTAGCCTGCACACAGTACAGGGGAGGAAAAGAGGCTGGTTCCACCCTCCAGTTTTTTGCTCTAGTTTTTGCTGTCTTCTGCTACCTTGAACTGTTGCCCTTTGCCATGCCACACTGCTTTGGAGCCAGCTGATTATGAACGGAAACCTCCACAAGCTGAGTTAAATAAACCTTTTCTCCCTTAATTTTTGGAGTCTGGTATTTTGTCTCACAAGTAACCAAGACACACTCAACACTGTAAAAGCAGAGAACAAAAAAAAGAGTTCCTCAAATGCTGGGGAAGATTCCAGAACATCTGCTTGGTTCATACTCTCATCATTTAGAAAACAAAAAATTATTATTTAACACATAACTTTATCTAGTCTGTATTTTACAGCTTTTCTTCTTCTCTGGGTGCTAGGAATGAATTCAGTCTCTCCCATGCTAAGCATACACATTATTACTGACCTACATCCCAAGCTTTTCCAACCTGTCCATTTATAAAAATAGATATAAGCGGAATAAAATTTAGCTTAGAAACTTGGGGCTGGGGAGATGGCTCAGTAAGCACTTTCCTGGCAAAGGCCTGAGTTCAATTCCCCCGGTTCTACCCAAAAAAAAAAAAAAAAAAGGAAAGAAAAAGAAAAAAGAAAGAAACTAACAGCTGTACACTTAACTTTCAAGTTTTATGAAGGATTTAATTGACCTTAAAGACCTCATTTTTAAAATCTGTTATAAGTCTTCTGTATAGAGTTTTTTTTTAAGTTTTATTGATAAACAGCAATGAGAGTTTCAAATCAAATCGGAAGTACAGTTTCAACAAATAATACACTGCATATATTCTTCTTAGTGGTTAATTGCTGTACAAGATACGGACTTGTGATCCTATTTACAAACA